TGGGCGGGTGCCCTCCGGCCGCAGCGGCCTTGCCTCCCGCGCAGGTGTGCTTGAGCCCCTCGCGGGCGCCGTGGCCAGCTTCTGGTAGCATGTCGAAGGCCCTGTTGCCGGGCTGCCCCCTGCTAGGTTGCAGGATAGTGCTGCTAATCTAGTCTTCCACCCTCCAGCGGGTAATTCTCTTCTTTAATTATCTGCTTCTTGTCAGTTGGTAGGTTTGCAAATCACACACCTTGCCCTTAAAGAGCCTTGTCAGGCTCCTTAATATTTGTTACCGTGGTGATGTAGTTAATAGGTAACAGGTGAAGGAATAAGGAAGGGTCCTGTCTACTCACAGAACAAATTCAAGTCTTGCTGATTTTGCAGATTAATGTAGACCTGCTAAAAGTCTGTTTGCTTTTGGAAGATCGGGGTGCTGGCCCAGCGTCAGTGCTTTCCGACAGCCGTATCCAGACCAGCAGTAATGTGAAGGGCTGTCGCGGTATTGGTGTGCCTCCTTCAGTGGTACCAGTATTTAATAGTGGGATAATGCCACATAGAAAACGTATTTCAAATGTTTTTAGGTTTTTTTCATACAGTCAGCTTCTATATTTTCCTTCTGTTATTAATTGGATAATTATCAGTTATCATTCTACATTGTAGAATGGAAAATTCTTAATTTGCATGCCTGTATTAGTATCACAATGTGCTGTGTATACACTTATATATATATAAAATACCTTCTTTGAATGCTTGAGATTTTCTCTTGCAGTCATGTGAGGTGGAAAACTGCCCTTTTCTAATCTTTAACATAATGCTGGTTCCTGTTTTGGACACGTATTTTAAACTGGTACAATCATTGCTTTGTGGCAGCTGGCATATACTGAACATGTGTTGTCTCCTGTGGTTTGCATATTTCAAGATATAGTTGGTAACCAGAGACAATTCGGTTATTTGCTTCCTTTCCTGTCTGAGAAGCTTTTATCACTGTATCATTAATTTGTCTCGTGTGGTTCTCAATTCTCGTAAATACTGCTTTAAAAAGAAACTTGATGATTCTTACGGCAGCGGTGATAATATGATGATGTGAATGTATTTTCATTAGGTCTAGGTAGAATAAGTGGATCCGGGCTGGAATGGAGTAAAACCATTGTTTTATTGATCATTTTCCTATCAAAAGAAAAGCATTGGAACAACTGCATTTGTATAAAGCAAAACATATTTTTGCCTTTATTGCTATACAGAGAGACTTTGGTCATTTTTGGTAGTTTGCTGAGCATAGGTTTGGACCTTTTTGCACCACTTTATTTTTCACTTAGTATCTGTAAAGGTCATTGTAGCACCATCTTTATATCCGCTCTGTCTCATAGGGTTTTTTAAAACTTTATTATTTTTTTTTTTCAAATAAAGTATTGCAAAATAAGCTTCCTAAAACGTACAGAATGTATTCTGCCAGGTTAGAAAAACGCTGTTGCTCATCTCAGCTGCTTGTTTTTTAAGTTTTCTTACAGCTGAAAGCTCTTTTTACCTAAGATTTCAGAGAGAAGAATATCAAGGAGCAGAATAACAATTTTTAATAAAATACTTAATGCATTGCCCTGCTCTTTTTTTCCCCAATCCCTAACAGCATGAGATCATCCTCTACAGGCAAATGTGTATTCTGCTTGACAGAACATGACATCATTGCATTACCTAAACCAAGATGAGGCAATCCTTAGTAGTCTGTTAGAATCAGCACTGTCCTCTAGAGAGCATGTCTGTTACCCTGACTAGTGCTTTAGAGCAGAGAACATACTGCTGATTAAAACATATATGTGAGTGCCTAGCAACAAGGGAGGTAATCTCTCCCTGGATGTCTTTTTGTTCTTTGAAGAAGTGCAGGTGACTTGCTTCATTAAGGTGCTCAGAAATTGATGGGTATTAGAGGTGAGTTACAGATTCTATTCTGAAGATAAAGCATGCGTATCTAAAATACCTAATGTGTTATACCCAGTTTTTCTTCACTATCTCTCTAGCTTCTGTAAAGACTCTTAAACAAGCTTGAGTTGAGATGCAGTAGAATGCATTCTTCATTAAATGATTGAAACTGTAGGCTGTGAGCTAGGCTTGCAAAGGCTTTAGTAAGAAATATTTTTATGATATGTTTTCTGATTATTACAAAATGTGTTTTAATTTTTTCAGAAACAAAGTACTGTAGTTCACTGTAGTTGTGTTTTGCTAGCCACTTCTTCAGAGTTTGTTGTTTCTTTGGTATTGGATCAAGGACAGCAGTTTTAAAATTTAAAACTTTAAGGTTGCAAAAGGATAAAGGAGATGAGTCTTAATTTAAGGTCACTTAAATGTTGAAGATCTTTCTTATCGTTTGCAGCATGCTTTATGTTTGTATTATGAAAGCATTCAGTGGTCCCAGTCTGTTAGGTCTCCAGATGGCCTCCTTAAAAGTCTGCTGCTGTTCACCAGTGTTAGTCTCACCAGCTTACTAAAACCAGTCCCAATGCATCAGTTCGCTTGTGAACCCAAGGCAGCCTAATGATCCACTTACCATCCCTAATGATTCCAAGATCTCATCTGTTGTCCGGAGGGTTGTTAGCTTTCCCTATACTTTAGCTGAGTCTTTCTCTAAGTAGTTGTTGGTAGCCCAGGCTGACTCATATGATGGACAGAAGGCGACCACAGCTCATGTAGGTACATATTTACTGGTTTATGTTAGCTGGTTCAGGTATTTGCAGCACTGGCATTGCAGATTTTCACAGTGCCAGGCAGCTGTGATAAACACCTGGGCTTTTAGCAGAAGTTGAATTCCACCCTGACATGGCTACGCTGCTCTCAGTCCACCTGCTGGCTAGTTTCGATAATGGAGTTGGTATGTGATACTGTGCTTTTTTATATGGTGTGGTTCTTCATTACTGTTGGCAGACAAAAAAGGAAGAAAGTTAACCTTTTCCCTGTCTCAGTGAAGGGTTTGGGCTGTGTTTCTGCATATAGAGCTTCTGCCGAAGAAGGAATGGCATGAGTTGCGTCAGAATTGTGGGGCAGTCTGGCTGGATGTTTTCCTACAAAACAAAGTCTTTTTCAAAAGTGTCAGGCTGCTGAGAGCTCAGAGAAGCTGGGAACCAGCCAAGGGTGATTGTGGTAGGGACAGCATTGAAAGAGGCATAGAAACTACTGGTGGCTGGGCTGTGCTGGACCAGGGGAACTTCTGGCATTCTTGTCAATGAAAGCCATTCTTTCCACTTCCTAGGGATCAGAAGCCCTGCTTTTCATTTACAGCTGTGTAGACACACCAACTGTCACTTTAGACTAGGCTTTGTTGCCAGTGCAAATGCTCCCTGCACAACGATAAGGTATGCAGTTGAATCGCGGTCATGCCACAGGTCTTAGGTACTTGAATTGCCCTTTCTGTCTCCTTTCACATAGGGAACTTTTAAGGAATTAGACTTTGAAGTTAGGCTGAATGAATCCAGATCATGGTGTTAGGCAGGCAAGTTCAGCATCATAGATATAGCTCCTGCCCCATGATAGTGTCTTTAAAGTACATTTCTAAAATATAAAACAATAATGTATTTTAGAAATTCTATTTCTAAAATATCAAGCTTGTTTGATACTTTCTTAATTTGGTTTTCAGAAAATTTCCTGTGTGGTGCTAATTTACATGATACAGTTCTCAAGTCTGGAATAATTTTTGTGAGCAAGAAGACTTCTTAATTACATCAGTGCTTCAAGATACAAAGAAATAGTATTCAGAGTAACCTTAACAATCTTTTGAAGTCACTAAAAATGTAAGTACATGTCTTCTAAGAAACCAGGAAGAAAAGAGGTTTATACATAACCCAGATTAGTGCTTCTGATGCATCAGTAGTTGTTGCTACAGAAAATGGATGTTCATGGTGTACTAGCTAGAGTACAGATATGAAGACTTACAAAAATATTATGTGAGATGGCAGATACAGTTTGCCACCAAAGAACCTAAGCCTTAAATAAGAGTGTTCAGCTAATCTTACTGCTTGGTCTGGTTATTTATACATCTCTATTTACCATAAATATACCTGGTAAGCAAGTTTCTTTAAAATTCTTGCCTTGCAGTGCCTTGTTTGTTTCTTGAGGTCTAAGCATTTATTTCAATTCTGAGAGTTTATTACTTTGTCCTATCTGGAAATTTAACTTTATGATGCTTAATACTTTTCTGAATCCTCAGTTAAAGGTAACCTGTGGTGATGTGTTCCATGAGTACACACAGAGTAATTGGGATGAAAGTTTATTGGGTTTCTGGCTTAGTATCACTCATCATTTCTTGTCCTGTGTTCTGATCAAAAGTAAATATCAATCCGCAGTTCATTTAATGAACTATTTAAAGTTACATTGTTATGATTTTGTTATTTGTATTGCAGTTGCCTCCACATACACCGATTAGAATTGGATGTGGTGATGTTTCATTTGAAACGGAATGCAGAGAAATTATTTATTTCTCAGAATAGATTTTGAGTCATAGTAATCTTCTGTGTTAGTCTTTGCACACATCTGGTAACTTCTATTGCTTTGTTTTTTATCTCAATTTCTGTTTTACTTGAGATGAAAGGATCCGTATATGAGGCAATATTCATAATACTAAAATGTTACGAATGCATGTGGGGACGTTACAGTATTTTAAAGACTGTTTTTGATTGGTTTGTCTCTTACCCTGCTTTTTGTAGGTATTTTCAATCATTTGGTCACAGGGATCTGCAGACTATTTTTCCTAGAGTTGTTTTAGAGTGCAGTAATTTAGAAAAATATTTCATGTTCTTCTTTCAAATATAAGATACGTGGGTATTACTCAGAAATGCTAATTTTTGCCTACCAATACTCCTAGGCTAAAGTTATTCTGTGTGAATATTCCCTTTTAATGTTCCTGTTTTCTCTGCTATTCTAAAAAATTGCTCTCTGATTGTGTAAGGCTTTAAGGAAACCTAACGAAAATTAAGCAATCTGAAGATATTACTTCACATGAAAATGAACTGTCATATATTTCTATTTTCTTGTGTTTTCAAGCTGATAGTTGAGATCCACAATGGCAGACATAGGAGATGGACCACATTTGGGGGAAGATCTGACAGATGCAAAATCTGTTCCTGGTTCCAAAGGGTAAGTGAGGTACTTTTGGTTTAAGTCTTCAATTTAAATTGAGGAATCTTGTGCTGTAACAGAAGGCGAGAACCATAGAAATAATGCTAAAAGGAAAAGTCTCAATTATGGTAAATTATAATAATCATAAACAACTGTTAGAGTTGTTGTACTGACTTTGAAAATATACAGTCTCTGGCAAAACAGGCCATATGGATGTACAAGGAACTAAAAAAACACTTGAGGTGCAGTTAGACTTGGCTTAACAATATCAAGTGGTTAGCTGTTCTTGAAAAGAGAATTCTGTCTCACCCTGGGCTAAATGTTCACCCTTTTCCTTGAACTGCTTCCAGAGCTCACCTGAACTCGTGGCAGCCAGTTCAGCTTCTTGAGCTGGCCTGCTGTAGAGTTACATGTGCAGAAGCACAAGTGTGAGGGGAACTTACAGGGCTGGAAGGGAGGAAACGCAGGCCTGTTCTTCCTGGTAACAACTAGTTGTTACGCTGGTGTAGCACTATCATCAGATGATGCTCTCCCTGGGAACTTAATTTGTTTCTGAAGTAATTCTTCTTAGTATTTCAATGAAAATTAGATTTAAGAGCATTATATAGACTTTTTATTTGTAGAATACAATACGATAGCTTGCCCCAATCTTGTAACCACTTACCCGTGTCCTTATATGAGAAAAATCCATACTGACTTCAGCATATATGGACTGAATAAAATTGACAGCTGCTGCAGAGTCATGTTGTAATTGGTGTGCTCATTAGGGCAGAATTACAGCTGTGTGCAGAGTCTTAGCCATGTTCTAGGTTTTGAATGTTTACTTGTGAAAATTCAATGGTAATAAGACTTTTTGTTAGAATTCAGAATAGATTTAAAATCTCAGAGCTGATCTTGCTTCCAGGTGCATAGCTTTCAAAAGATGATAGTAAGAAAAACCCAACTGATTTCTTGTTGATATAATACTTGGTTTCCTTAAACTCATTTTGCGTATTCTCCTGTGCAGTGGCCTTATCATTTTAGACACAATTCTTCCTGATTCTTTACGTTTTAAGCATGTTACAAATTGCACAGATTACTACAAATACAAGTGACTCTTCACTTTTTTTTTAATTACTTGTGTTTGTGCACATTTTACCAAACTTGAAACAAAATGTTTATTTGGGAGCATAACTATACAAAGCAGTTCTATTTATTTTAACCTCTGAGCAAGTACAGTCTTCTCTAGTCTTAGATCAGATCTACCAACTGATTTCACAGATGTAGAATCATAGAATGGTTTGGGTTGGGGAAGGGACCTTAAAAGATAATCTAGTCCAATCCCCCTGCCATGGGCAGGAACACCTTCTACTAGACGAGGTTGCTCAAAATCCCATTCAACCTGGCCTTGAACTCTTCCAGGGAGGGAGCATCCACACCTTCTCTGGGCAAACTGTTCCGGTGCCTCACCACCCTCACAGTAAAGGATTTCTTCCCCATATCTAATCTAAATCTACCCTCTTTCAGTTTAAAACCGTTACCCCTCATCCTATCACTACACTCACTGATAAAGAGACCCTCCCCATCTTTCCTGTAGGCCCCCTTCAGGTACTGGAAGGCTGCTATGAGGTCTTCCTGGAACCTTCTCCAGGCTGAACAAGTGCAACTCTCTCAGTGTGTCTTCCTAGGAGAGGTGTGCCAGCCCTCTGATCGTCTGCCTGGCCCTCCTCTGGACGTGCTCAAGCAGGTCCATGCCTGTCTTATGCTGGGTGGCCCCAGACTGGACGCAGTACTCCAGGTGGGGTCTCATGAGAGCAGAGTAGAACGGGAGAATCGCCTCCCTTGTCCTGCTGGTCACACTTCTTTTGATGCAACCCAGGATGCAATTGGCTTTCTGGGCTGCAAGCGTATGTTACTGGCTCATATTCAGCTTTTCATCCACCAATACCTCCGAGCCCTTCTCCACAGGGCTGCTCTCAATCCACTCATCACTCAGCCTGTACCCATATTTGGGATTGCCCCGACCCAGGTGCAGGACCTTGCACTTGGCCTTGTTCAACTTCGTGAGTTTCACATGGCCCCGCCTCTCTAGACTGTTGAGGTCCCTGTGGATGGTATCCTTTCTCTCCAGCGTGTCAACCATGCCACACAGCTTGGTGTCATCTGCAAACTTGCTGAGCGAACTTCTAGGGAATAAGTAGCAAACCTTACCAGTTTCATTGGTTTTGCTAAAATGACCTTATTTTACTATTATTTTGAAACAAGAGAAATCAGAAATTAACCCCTAAAGTTTGTCTGGTTTCTATACAGAAAGAACCTACCTGCTAGCAAGTCTATGGACTCTGGAATTCTGCCAGACTACAGTTACAGAATGGATTATCCAGAGATTGGGCAATGTATAATAATAAACAATAAGAACTTCGACAGACAGACTGGTACCACTTTCAAATTTTTTAAGTTTTTTTCTTTAATTTAGATAAATTACTGGCATGTATTATTCTTCAAAATTAAATATGCAGACCAATTTTGATTGCATTCTAAAATTAAGTGGTTTGAGTGGGTGTGATTCATTTCAGTGCATTCTTCCAAATATGCATAGAGGGAACACATTAGGGTATAGCAGTAATGGGGACAAAAATTGATAGGCAGTACAAGTCGTCTTACCTTTTAGTCATGATTTCTGTTTTGCAAATTAAATCCTTTTTCATGTCTTAATACAGATAGGTAGATATACAAATAAGGAGTAGATAAATCTACAATATAGGTACAGAGAGAGGGAGATGGTGTGCATGTATAAAAGTGCAATGTTTTTTTTTCTTAGAGTGGATCTGGAATAGTAGAATAATATTCCAAGCTGATACAGGTATAAGAATTTGGCTCAGACCATGCCATCTACATAATTAAAAAATTAATATATTTATTTTGTGTGTAGGGATGTTACCCCGAGCGGGTACAGATGCGGATGCTGCAAGTGTCAGAGAAGTTTTTATGAAGTTGGGATATAAAATAAAGATCAACAACGATCTTTCATGCAGGGACATTTTTAAACTATTGAAAAATGGTAAGTAATAATATGTTCAGTGTGTGTCTTAAATCAATCATTGTTTCCAAATACATCTCTAGCCCTCACATCTCTTCTTCCATGGTTCTTTTAGATGATATTTCACACCTACTGGTGGTTTATTGCTAAGGATGACATGCACGTCATAGTTTCTATGTTTATTCATCTTTGCCGTCTCTTCATCTTTTGTGCCATGACTGTTGTCTCCGTATCCTTTCTCATCTTCTAAAGAAGGCTGGAAAAAAGGCTGAAACTTAAATGCAGACTGATTTATATTCTGACCCTGGGATCACTGAAGGTCTGTGAGTTGGAAAGAAACCTGATTAATTGGGTAGAGGGGTTCTGTGCTATATGCTTAGTGATGTGGCCCAAAAGGTGTTCTGATCCAGGGGAGGGGGAGGGTTCTGGTCGAGGGACCAGAACTGCAAGTGTGTGGACTGAAGTACTCTTTTTAGAGAAACAACTCATGTTTTGACTTGTGAAACAAAACACCCTTCTGTCAAGTGAGAGCTTTATACTACTGTTTGTGTTAGTCCTGTGTTGTTTGGACTTGGCTACATCTAGACCCGTAAATTAAACGGTGCCTGGAGGTATCTGTAGCCCTGGAACACAGTCTATTCTACTTAGCTGTTGGAAGGTTCTCTGGCACGACTGTGGCTCATGCCTACTAGCACTCTTCCAGAATGTTCCAGGTCACAGTTCAAGAGTAAAAGTGTTCCAGGGATTATTCCCAACAGCCGGTTAGCCTGCAGCAATCCTGTTTGGTTGGTTGGTTTTGTTTGTTTTTAAATGTAACTGTTTGCTAACATAGATGTAGGTTCTTTGATGCCAGTTAATGTTTATGCCAGAGAATGCTCCCAGGCATGGTTAATTTATTGGTATCGTTGCAGTCTAGCTGTTGACAGTAGCTGGAAGAGGAAAGGCCTCTGTCTCACCTGTGGTATAAGGCCTCCAAATAGACAGTGTAGACTACAGACTGCAGCCTGACTAGAGATTCCCAAAAAACAGCCTTTCCTGACTCTTCTAGATGTAGTGCTTGTCCATAAATTGTAGAAATGCCTGAGTCTGCATTGCCTTAGAAAAATCTAAATCGTTCCATTTTTCCAGAATAGAAATTCGGTGTTTTGGCAAGCTCTAAAAAGAAGACTTCAGCTTTTGGGACCGTTACACTTTTCATCTACAAACTCTTACATCTTCTTGAGTTTCCCACTCTGAATTTTTTTTGGATCCTTTCTTTTAAACCATATTTGTACCTTTTAATATATTTAAAAGAAACATCTTGGTCCTCATGTACAATCCCCACAATGTCAAGCAACAAAAGATATCAAAGAATATCAGTTCTGTGCTCTTTGCATACCATGAGATGGGCAAAAAGATATAAATCTACGGACACTTTATATCAAGCTTAAATGTATTTAAGTACAAAATTCAGAGTCTTGAGAAATCTTTCTAGACCTTGCTACAGGGCAAGAGTGAGAGAGAGAGGGATAATGCTAGTGCCTAGGTCCCTGCAGCAGCAGCAACTTTCATGCTACATTCAGTTCGCGTGTAATCCAAGTAGTTGAAGCATCTCTGATCGGGAAGAGAGGTGAGGCTTCCCCATCCTTTCCCAAAATTCAGAACTTACCATCAGTCCGATGCCAGATCACGAGACTGCCTGAGCAAGGTGTACCATTCAGACTTGGAGACACTGTGAGAACAACCTCTTTGTCTCCTTGTGTTCCTGTCTCCTTATGGTATTCTTGGCCTAGTTCTCTTGCCTTGTCTTAGAATGGGTAGGGTTGGCCTTTAATTTGGGGTTTCTGTGTCCAACCTCCTGAAGTAAAGTAGGCTGGCTCCTTTTGTTCAGAAGTGAAAGCTGGTTGGAGGTGTCTAAACATGGGAATTAGTTCTTAAAGACTTCGTCACATAGGAAGCATCACATGTTCAAAGCTTTTAGGGAATGCCAGAAGTTAAAATAATTGTCTTTTTTCTTTCAAGTTTCTGAAGAAGATCACAGCAAGCGAAGCAGTTTTGTTTGTGTGTTGCTAAGCCATGGTGATGAAGGATTAATCTATGGTACAGATGGCCCTCTTGAACTGAAAGCACTAACAAGCCTTTTCAGAGGTGACAGGTGCAGAAGTTTAGCAGGAAAACCCAAGCTCTTTTTCATTCAGGTGAGGTACAGCTGAACAACGATCATCAAATCAGCTGGATGCTTAAAAAAAAAAACCCCATTGATTCCCATTAATTATTGGTGCAAAAAAAGTTAATTATTTCTGAAATGGATTTAAATGGAATTACTTTGGTGATAAGACACTCCTCAGGTCTAAAAGCGGCACAGTCTGCCCTGTTAGGTGGGCAGTATCTGTAATAGCTGAGATTGCCTTACCTTAGTTCTAGGAATTAAGTAAGATCTTTCTGAACGCTAGCTGATATTTTGGTGAGTTTCTGAATGCACTTACGAATTAGTATCTATCTTATCTCTGTAGTTGATTCAAATAAATGCTGGTTACATTTCTTCTGAGTCTGTCTAATGGAAATGTGACACATAAATTCTTGTTATTTTTTCAGTTTTTTAATTGGGATAGTATCGTCTTTAAAACAGAAAAAAAAAGAGTATTCTAATCATGATCGTGGCCTTTGTTTCTCATCTATTTTTCATTTTATTTTCAATTCTTCCTTCCACCAAAAAGGCTTGTAGAGGGACAGAACTAGATTCTGGTATTGAGGCAGACAGTGGATCAGAAGAAACAATGTGTCAAAAAATACCTGTAGAAGCAGACTTCCTGTATGCATATTCTACAGCTCCAGGTGAGAGACTGGCAAAAAAATTGTTGTTCCTGAAATTGTATCTATGTATTCATACTGTAAATGACAATTTGCACTTGTATCCAGTCAGTGGGTGGCTACTTCTTTTGTTCTCTTTCATGGAAAGAGGAATTTTCTTCCCTCTTATCTTTTTTTTCTCCTCTGATTTGATTTCTTTTTGAGGTAGTTGCTATTCTCAGTTAAAAAAAAAACAAAACAAAAAAAAAACCCCACCAAACCCTGAACATACATCTTTCTCACTAGCAAGCCCTCAATGTTCATCTGCTATAAATTCAGTTAATCTGAGTTGTGCAAATTACTTACAGCAGGAAGTAAAAGGTATTCTTAGTTCTGAGAGAGCAAAACAATCAGATATCTGTAGATGCATATACAGAAGCAGGTGATAAACACCAGCATATTACTTGCCTAGCGACTCTTCATTGCATCCTTGAGCAAAGTTAGTAGTGGCAGAGCCCTTAGTGTGCCCTGTACCTTATCAGTTAGCAGAAGTAGGTTCCAGTCTTTAATTCATGCATGTAGTCCTGCACATAATGACGCTGAAATCCATTTTGCATCTTGGCTCCATCTGTACTGTCACCTCTCCTTATACAGGTACTCTGTAAAGAAGTAGTGAGTGATTAATGGCTAAGAGTATGGCAGCAGAAGGTAGTTTCCCTGACTCTTGATTTTCTACCTACTTAAAGTTGAGTGGATTAGAAAAATCTTTTGAGTTGGAACTTGGGGAGACTTATCTAACTTAAATTTTGTTGGTTAGTGGGTTTGATTTTTTTATTTTAAAACTTCGATTGCTATTGGAAACAATGTATTCTTCCCCTAATTGCTATCATGTCCCTTATCAGAGGCTGCTACATCTGATCCATTCAACATCTCTCTCTTCCACAGGCTATTACTCCTGGAGGAATTCAGCTGAAGGCTCCTGGTTTATTCAGTCACTGTGTAAAATGCTGAAGGAGCATGCAAGGAAACTTGAACTCATGCAGATTTTAACTCGTGTAAATCGCAGAGTGGCAGAGTATGAGTCCTGCTCAACTCGGCAGGACTTTAATGCAAAGAAACAGATTCCGTGCATTGTCTCTATGCTCACCAAAGAATTTTACTTTCCTTGCTAAAAGAATCTCACTTTGTAATTTTTCAGTTTGTGTTTTTATCTGTAATTTATGTGCAATGTCAGCATGGAATACCATTTTTAAATCTGAATTACTGTTCACTACTGTGTGTAGCATCATGAACTGTCTCAGAGTCTAAGTTAGATATGTCCTTTATTAGAAGTAAAACATAGTATGGCTATGTTAGAAATCCAAACTTGAGTAGCTGAAGCACAGGCAAACTTGAAAGTGGTGCTCTGAGTATCTCGAAAAACTAGGAAGAGGAGACTGAAGGAAGGTCAGATCACTTATCAGATCTATTTGGTTCTGCATTTCACTTTGCTGAAGACAGAGAAAAGAAACAGTTCTTGTAAATAGTTTGGTTTCCTACCTTTGCCAATGGGAAGAAGATTCAGAATGTGATGTGTTTAATAATGATGGTAATATGATAGTAGTGTCACACATTTCTTCTTCACTTGAGTTCTTAAAGTTCAGGCTATAAACTAACCTGAACTGTTTTTATAACTTAGGGCAGAAACTGTGAAAAACAGCCATTTAATTTTTTATGTACAATTAGGAAGCATACTTAGAATACAGTCAACTTTTTTCTAATAATTTCATAACTTTTTATATGGAATATTAGGTAAAGCAATTGTGTCAACCCGGTAGCTGTTTCAAAATAAATTTTGTATTCTGACCTTGAAGCTGAGTGACTATGGGACCGCTATTCCAAAATTCCTTTTTCTGCAGCTCCCTAAGGCAGGAAGCTGCTCGGGCACATTTTGGGCTATAAGAATCGGTGCAAAAGGAAGTCTGTGTTCTGAATAGTCTGCTTTCCTCTTTCTGGCCATAAATTAGTGTGGGTTTGCTGCGTGCTATGTGCATACTGCATTTAATCTGTGTGGAAACCTAGATTGGTGGTACCGGAGGAATTTCACTTCTTAACTCCAACAGCAATTTGAGTTAATTACAATACTTCAGCTAACATATGTTAACAAATTGTAGATTTAGATCTCTTGACTAAGTTTTGTGGAACTGGCTTTTACAAAATTGTAAAACGTTTCTGTTGATGTTTCAGCTTTTGGCAGTCTTTTTAAGACCAGAGGAAGACAGAATGGTAAATGACTATAGGGTGCTTGCAAAACAAGCATTAGAACTCTTTAAATTGTGTAGCATAAACAGTGTTAACAAACTGATGTTCATTTCTGGAGGCATTTGGGGCTCTTCTAACTTAAATTACTGTTTCCTAAATTGCATCATGCTTTTCTGTGTGTATTATTTGTTTAGGATCTGATAGATTTTGCAAATTAATTTTAACTTATTATCTCCCTTTTTTTTCAAAATACTACTTTCCCTTTTCTTCCCCATCTGCCTTACCACCTGAAGTTGAAAGGAAGCTGCTCTAAAGCATTGTATACTGTACAGCCAGGTAATAAGAGCAGCGACTGAGACATGGGAAATGCAGGTTAAAAAGTTATGCAGAGGCAGCAATTGTAAATGTCATGGATTTCTCTGATGACTGCCTGCTGAATAGGAGGAATCATGTCTCTCTTGTAGAAATGTTTTGTGAGAGAGGGTTAAGTCTCTTTTAACTGATTGAAACTTCAGTTCCAGGCAGATTTATTACCCACGCTTCTATTGGAAAACTAAATAGGCCCCTGTTAAACATACCTAAAAACAACACTTACAAAAATCTGTGTGTAGGTTTCTGCTTGTAGGTCGTGAATTACAGCAGACAGCTGCACAGTTATGTGTTGTAAATGACTGACAGGACTTCAGTTAATCTACTTCAAAGTAATTGGGAATAGGAATGTTCCCTGAAATTAAGTTATTTTGCTGTGAAAAAGTCCTGTCATGGAGTTTGCTTTTCCCATAGATTTAATAGGTTCTGGTCTTGATCCTTCTTAGTTCTTTAAAGGAAAAATTATTCTACAACTCTTCCGATAGCTTTGATTTTGTTTTGCTCTATTTTAAAGATAAGCTATACTCAGTAACCAATCATTTAGGAAGACTTAGAGGTAGGGCTTAGGGAAAGGGGTAATATCCATAGAATCATTTGGTTGGAAAAAACCTTTAAGATCGTTGAGCCCAGCCCTACCTGTTCACGACTAAACCATGTCTCCAAGTACCACAACTACTTGTCTTTTAAATACCTCCAGGGCTGGGGACCTGACCACTTCCCTGGGCAGCCCATTCCAGTGCCTGATAACCCTTCCAGTGATGAAATTTTTCCTAATATCTAACCTAAACCTCCCCTGGCGCAACTTGAGGCCATGTCCTCTCATCCTGTCGCTTGTTCCTTGGGAGGAGAGACCAACACCCACCTTGCTACAACCTCCTTTCAGGCAGTTGTAGAGGGCCTCCTCCAGGCTAAACAACCCCAGTTCCCTTAGCCACTCCTCATTACACTTGTGCTCCAGACCCCTCATCAGCTTTCTTGCTCTCCTCTGGACACGTGCCAGTGCCTCAATGTCCTTCTTGTAGAGTGAGGGGCCCAAAACTGAACACAGTATTTGAGGTGTGGCCTCACCAGTGCCAAGTATGGGGCATGATCACTTCCCTACTGCTGGCCCCACTATTTCTGATACAAGCCAGGATGACATTGGCTGCCTTGGCCACCTGGGCACACTGCTGGCTCATATTCAGTCAGCTGTCGACCACCACCCCCAGGTCCTTTTCTGCAGGGCAGTTTTCCAGCCACTCTTCCCCAAGCCTGTAGCATTGCATAGGGTTGTTGTGACCCAAGTGCAGGACCCAGCACTTGGCCTTGTTGAACCTCATACAATTGGCCTCAGCCCATCCATCCAGCATGTCCAGTTCCCTCTGTAGAGCCTTCCTACCCTCAAGCAGATCAACACTGCCACCCAGTTTGGTGTTGTCTGCAAATGTACTGAGGGTACACTCAATCCCCTCATCCAGATCATTGATAAAGATGTTAAACAGAACTGGCCCCAATAGTGAGCCCTGAGGAACACCACTTGTGACCGGCTGCCAGCTGGATTTAACTCCATTCACCACAACTCTTTGGGCCGGGCCATCCAGTCAGTTTTTTAACTAGCAAAGAGTATGCCTGTCCAGGTCACAGGCAGCCAGTTTCTCAAGCAGAATGCTGTGGGAAACTCAACGGCTTTACAAAAGTCCAGGCACACCACATCCACAGCCTTTCCCTTGTCCACTGAGCAGGTCACCTTGTCATAGGAGGACATCAGGTTAGTCAAGCGGGATCTGCCTTTCATGAACCCATGTTGGCTGGGCATGATCTGCTTGTCCTGGACGTGCTGTGTGATGGCTCTCAAGATGATCTGCTCCATGACCTTCCCTGGCACTGAGGTCAGACTGGCCTGTAGTTCCCTGGATCTTCCCTCCAGCCCTTCTTGTATATGGGCATCACATTTGTTAACCTCCAGTCAAATGGAACTTCCCCAGTCATCCAGGACTGCTGATAGATGATGGAAAGGGGCTTGGTGAGCCCCTCCACCAACTCCCTCAGGTGGACCCTGTCTGGCCCCATGGACTCACGTGTGTCTAACTGGCCCAGCAGGTAACTAACCATTTCCTCTGGGATCACAGGAGCTTTGTTCTGCTCCCCATCCCTGCCTCCTGGCTTAGGGGGCTGGATACCCAGAGAACACCTGATCTTACTATTAAAGACTGAGGCAAAGGCAGCATTAAGTACCTCAGCCTTATCCTCGTCCTTTGTCACTATGGTTCCCCCTGCATCCAGTAAAGGATGGAGATTCTACTTGGCTCTCCTTTTGTTGTTAATGTATGTATAAAAATATTTTGGGGGGACTCTTCCCAGGCCCACCACAGGAGCCATCAGCCCATCAATGACCCATCTTCACAAGCCCAGAAGAGCAAAGGAGCACAAAGACAACTGGAGTCAGACCACAGAGCAGTCGGTTTGCCCTCTTCCCGCAACAACCTCTGAGGGTGCATATTCCAAACCTGCTTTTGTTAAAGGAAAAAAAGGCAAGTCAAACAACTGAGGCTGGTGAGTCCCGTGGACACAGTCTGTCCTTGAGAACAGAATCCATGCTTTTGGTACTCTGCTCCGTAACAGAAGAAAACCCATGCAACTTACTCAAAATACACAGTGGTTAACAAGTTACTAGGTCCTTTTTTATACATAAATGCATTCCTCTTGGAAGCATATGTGGTTTCTCCTGACATTTTAATCTGAATTACTATACATTCATATGTAATTTATTTTTTTAGCTACAATCTCACATTTATTTATTTTCTGCTAAAGCCAGGCAATATGTGTATGGCATCACTTCTAAAAATATTAACAGTATGAATAATGATGCCTAAATTATAACAGTAGCAGCAGAAGACTTGTCTCCTCATATCCTATAAGGAATGCTTCTCATTACCAGGAAAAATCTACCTTTCAGCTGTGTGTTTCCTCCTGCTGATGACTGCAGGCAGCAGGAGAGTCACAGCAGAACTCTTCGGTCTTTTGAGAGAACAGGGTCAGAGATAAACTACTGCTTCATCACCACAGGGTGTCACTGCAGATAGCATAATAATCTCCAAAATTCACATTCAAGAGGAATTGAAAACCAAAACCAAGAGCCTCCTGAATGAAGCAACCCTTTCTTTCGCACCTGGCAGTGGTTGGTCGCTGTCGGTCAGCTTGAGTGTTTATCACATCCTGGGACTTGCATCCCTAAGTACATGAGAACATCGCAGTGCTGCTTCTCAAGAAAACCTCCCTGTCTTTTTCATTGTATATCAGAGTAAACCAGAATCAACTGGTTTTGAGGCAAAAAGGGTTGTCTCTGCTGTCCTACACCTACTCAGAGAACGCTTCCAACTGTGGAGCATCTCCCCCTGCAGATCCCCACTGTACCACTGATAGTCCTGTAATGTTTAATAAAAAAACAAAACAAAACACAGAACCGCCAGAAAAAGCTTCTGCCATACCACTGTTGGTGGTCTTTTAGCAGAAGGATGGTGCAATCACTTGCTTTGCCTGCATCATGAAAGGAAATTACTGAAAACAGAGAGAAGAACTTGCATTGCAAGCTCTTAAATTTTATTTTTTTCTTAAAAATCAAATTCTGAAGTTGGGATTTTCCTGGATAATCACAAACAAAAAAATTAAGGCCTGACTTTTCCAACCAAATGAAACATAATGGTTTTTTCTTGTTCAAGACCAAGATGTTCAGTCATGAAGACAGTCACATAATTAAAGCATCTCAAAAGAAACAGTTGTTTTCTGAAAGTGTTCTTGTTTAGTGTTTGCAGGCAAAATTTGGCATCAGATTCAGGAGGTCACCACTGCTGCCCCCAACGCCAGAGGGGCAGCGATGGTGCTCTGCCTCTGAGTATTTCTGCCTAGCTGAACATGGTGAGCTTCATAGGGACTGACCTAGTGAAATTCAGCAGCGTGGGACGTGTAAGAGACCAGCCTAGATGATCTAATAGGCCCTCCTGGCTTCAAACTGCATACAGAAAGGGGCCGTGCAAAGCCATCTCACTACCTCCAAAGCAGGACCAGAGAACAGGTTTTCCTGCATATGCATAAAGCTATAGTAATATTATCTGAGTGGTTTGAGAGTACCTGATGCAAAGATGTATCTATGGATGAAGAGTGCCACTGTAGCATTCTACGGCTATTAAGAAAATATTAGTTTGATTTATTTAGTCACCTATAAAGAGAGCAGTGGGAACAACCATCACTGTGCAATTTACACTCGTCTGTAGAAAAACGTAATTAATACTAAACTTTGACAGCTGACTTGCAGAGGGATTTCTTTTTGCAGGATCCTTCCTAACAGACACAAGAGTTTCCTCTTTCTCTCCCTGTCTACTTCTTGTACTAAACCCAGAACATTTCGGGTTCCCTTTTATCCCATTCAGCTAAAAGCAGCTTCCTCAAACACACAGCTCACACCTCTCCCTCATGATGCAATGCAGAAAGGCCTCTTAAAGGCAGATGTTCTCTGGGTAGAGTGGTTCTCTGCAGCGCTCCTTCACCCTTCTTTGCCTCTTCATCCTCAGCTCTCCCACCTTCCTTTGGCTGAGGCTATGAGATTTCTGGCTGAGGGCTGACCTCCAGCTGGTGGGGATGCTGCTGCTGCTTCTGCAGGAGGTTTGGACAT